ATCATTGAGAACAGTGCCATGATAACAGAAAGCTCTGAATATACATTAGCCTTTAAATTTGCATTATTAATACATAATTACTAAATACTATTTTCTATAACAACTACATATTCTAAGGCAGCAGTCGTCAACCTTTCTGACCTCATGGACCACCAGGGGTCACCGGATCACTGGTTGGCGGCCGCTGTCCTAAGGAACCTGTGTTCCATGGAATAAGGAAATGCTAGTAAGAAAAATAATATCCTTCATACCTGAAGAGAAGTCAGCATCTTGTGTAGCACAAAAAGCATAGCATAGAAATCACTTAGTCTCCAATATCAACTTACCCTTCTGGGGTCTATTTCCTTATCTATAAAAGTAAGGTAATTAAACTAGTTGGTCTTTCCTGCTACAGTAATAGTCTAGGATTCCAAGGAAAAGGCCTAGTAATTAAAACCTGCAGCCCTGCCCAATCCTGGATCCAACCCGGTTGCCCTTAAGGCTCTACGCCATTCAGATTTAAAGTTGCTATTACCGGTTAAGAAGCGGGTCTGCCATCCAGCAAAATGGATATGGGAATGGCCTTCTGCCACCTCGCCCCGGAGTTCTGAAGCACTCGGAGCAGAAGCAAGCTGGCAGCAGTCATGAGGGCCACAGGCTGCTACCTGCCCCGTTCCCGGACCTTCAATCCCGCCGCCTGGGTTTCTGGCATCGAAGCTTGGGCAACATCCCTATTTCCATACTGTGGTCTCCAGTGCCTAGAGGGAGCCCAGTCCTGTGTACTAGTCACTCTGCTTATCTTGATTCCTGCCAGCTCTTTCCAAAGGCTGAACTCTTCTCCCAGTCTTTCTCATCTGTACAAAGCCCCAGGCTGGAATTACAGTGCAGATACCCACCTGTGCTCAACCGTGCCCACATCTCTCCAATCTGAATTCCTGTGGAGTCCACCCTGTCTCAACAGGAGAGGGCTCTGCGTCTGCCCTGGAGTGTGTACGGCTCACACTAGCTCCATCTTTTGGAGATCTCTAGAATGTCAAATGGCCATGCCGATTTGCGCTCTATTTGCGTATCCTCCCACCATAGCCAGTCAGCCCATATGCTTTCTCCGTCCAAGCACTGTTCTACGTTCTGTTGACACAATCTTGAACACAAGCAGACATTCTCCCTCTTTACAGTTAACACACATTTCAGTAGAGGAAAAAGGACAAATAAATGTACAAGATAAGGTTATAGAATATGCTGATAGGGAGAGAGGAATTCGATGAGTGTCAGGCTAGGCCCCTTAGGGAAGGGGGCACCTGAGCTGAGACTGAAAGAAGGTCCAGACCTGAAATCGGGTCCAGAACACCTCCTGGTAGCAAAGAAAACCTCCAGTACACAGACTCCACAGCCAGATCCAGCTTGTGCTGGGGAGCAGGAAATAAGGCCAGTGTGGCTGGAACAGAGAGGGAGAGAGCAGGACATGAGGCCAAAGGGCAAGGCAGGGCCACATGTTGCTGGCTTTGTTGGCCAGGTGCAGATGTTTGGATTTTATTCTCATTGGAATAAAAAGTCATGGAAGAATTTTAACAGAGTGTGACACGGTAAGTCCATCCTTCTTCCTGGGGCTGCAACAACAACTCTAGTATGTGCCTAGCAACACATCAGTGATTATCCACCAAATGCTACAGTCTCTTCGCTCACAATCACAACAGGCATGTTCAGGTATGTAACCCAGTGCAAGTTAAAATGATAACAAATCCACCCAAAGATATCCCTATTGGCTTGAGAGAAATGTTATACTGTAATTTAAGAAGTTACACTTTCTTATATGTTAATAGCTCTAATCCTATCTAGTAAAGAGGTAATATGCAAATTGACCATCACTCCAACACACAAGATGGCCGCCCCCATGTGGACACAAGATGGCCTGCAGGGGAGGGCAGTTGTGGGTGATTAGGCCTGCAGGGGAGGACAGTTCGGGGGGACCAGGCCTGCAGGCGAGGGCAGTTGGGGGGGACCAGGTCTGCAGGGTAGGGCAGATGGGGGCAACCGGGCTGGCAGGGGAGCAGTTAGGCGGTGATCAGGCTGGCAGGCAGAAGCGGTTAGGGGCAATCAGGCAGGCGAGCGGTTGGGAGCCAGCAGTCCTGGATTGTGAGAGGGATGTCTGACTGCCCTCAAGGGGTCCCAGATTGGAGAAGGTGCAGGCTGGGCTGAGGGACACCCCCCCCCCCCCCCGCCATGCACAAATTTCGTGCACCAGGCCTCTAGTTAATAAGATAAACTTCTCCTTTTGGGATTCGGCAGTGATAAGGCTCAAGTGGGAGTGCCACTTGAATCCTCAGAAATGGAAAATCACATTTTTTAAAAAAAAGTAGCATTGCTCACAGTAACTGACTCGGCCTGGAATACAAGAGGAACTGGAAATGTAAAGATGGTATCTTTAACAAATGTCACTCTGTTATTCTATAGCTCTTGCCAGTACAGCACTTTAAAGAACTGCATTAAAGTAGCTCCCAATTGAAAAAGTAAATCCCAAGTACAGGCAGAATTAGCAGCCCCGTTCCTTGCTCTTATAGTAAATGATTAAGGGGGTGTTACAAAGATGAAGCAGGGCCTCTCTTTCTAATCCTGACAGACATCCTCCCTTTTTCACTAATCCTCTATTTTGGAGTGAAGGCCCGCACAGGGAAGTCGATTCCTGGTAAAGCCATAATAAGAATGCATCTTTCCGCCCTAACCGGTTTGGCTCAGTGGATAGAGCGTCGGCCTGTGGACTCAAGGGTCCCGGGTTCGATTCTGGTCAAGGGCATGTACCTTGGTTGTGGGTACATCCCCAATAGGGGGCGTGCAAGAGGCAGCTGATTGATGTTTCTCTCTCATGGATGTTTCTAACTCTCTATTCCTCTCCCTTTCTCTCTGTAAAAAATCAATAAAAAATATTAAAAAAAAAAAAAAAAAAAAAAGAATGTGTCTTTCCAGGGCCAGAAGCAGGGGGAAATCTCTTTAGCAGACACTGTTCAGGAACTTGTGACAAGTTTCTCTGTACCTTTGAAATCGGGCAAGTGTTTGTGCTCCTGACAATAATATTCAGCAAACGGACTGAGACCAGAGGAAGTACAATCACTAATAGAGAGGGTCACTTAGCAATTAACGTGCTGACAGCTCTAAAAGCTCCCGTGGTTAGAGGTGAGAGGAGAGAACACTACCAAGAGCAGGGCAGGCTTTCCTGTCCCTGTGTTTACATGAGCCCGAACTGAGATCCTCAAAGGCAGCAAGGCCGCCTGCCTCGTCTCATGGAGAAGAAATACAGACGGGGCCTCCTCTCAAATTCCCCACACCCGGTTTAGATTCCTCTTTTACCTTTCATCCCTAAGACTTGCGTTGAGGCAACTTTGTAATATAATTATTCTCAATTTATATCACACACAGATGATGGTTCCATCTTCCCCAATATTCTATGTAAAATCCTTCAAGTCAGAGTCATCTCTCTGGCTCCCCCACTCACCCATCATATAAAAATTTCACACCATACATGAAGGAACAAATAAAAAATAATTGCCTTCCAGTCTCACTCACCAAAGGGTAACCATTGTTAAGTTTCTTACCTCCCTTCAAAAAAGTTTGTGGGCATATATAGACTTTTGTGTTATCCAGTGTTCAATCTCAAGAGCAAAACTTAGAAGAAAGAAAGATTGATAGAATTTTAAATCATTTCTGGTTCAGGGCAGCATACAAATAAATAATTACAAATTACTACAGAATAAGGGATGATGTGGATATTCCAAGATAGACACAACTGGCCTCCATCTACCACTGACACACCCTCCACCTCCCAAGACTTGGGCGAGTACTGCATTCAGGTGGTAGATGCAGTTACCTGGGCATTTGCCAGGGGACTCCAGCTCTGTCTCTAACATGCTGCGTGGTCCCTGGCCAATTCACTCCATCTCTCTGCGTCTCAGTTTCCTCTCCTACAAAATAAGGTGTTTTCTAGGGTCCCTTGAGTCCGATATCAAAGTTGATAATCGAGTAATGAATGATAAATACAAACAGGTACACCATGGCCAAAGTCTGAAATTTGTATCAGGAAGAAAATCACAGAGATAATCAATATAATAAATTACCAGGAGAATATGGATACAAATTAGATTGCAGTAATTATGTTTTTTTAATCAATTTTTTGAGCTTTAATTCATAGAAGAATTCATGTCTTATTTTAACAGAGATGCACCAAGCAACACACATTGATCCTGAAGTTATTTTAAGATACACCTGCAACCCTTCGGAAGTAGAACTGACATACATTGACTCATTTCTCACCTGGGCATGTGGCCTTCTCACCAAGCTCAGAAGGTTTGTGAATATTTTTCCATTGTCAAGACTCATTGATATGTTCAATTACACTCAGTAGCTATTGGGTCACAACTTCAGTGACTAACATCTTCATTCTCATTTGCCACCTCAGTGACAATTAGCTGCCTACCAGGGAGAAAGTCCTCTTGCTGGTTGGTCCATATTTGCTGTCCTGTTTGTCCTGTTCTGACCTTGTCCTTTACCTGGAGCATAGATAGATACCCGGGAGAGTGGGAAAGTGATGATGGTGGGACCAGGGAGAGAGGGAACAGGTGCTGAGAGTGGGTAAGACCCTATTACTGTTAAGCATCCACTTGGCAATTTGACTGCAAGCTGAAGGTCCTTGTTCCAGGGCAAATCTGGGAAAAAGGAAGTGGCATTCACAAGTGTCTCTGTCAAATGTTCTTGCCTTTTCTCTCAGAGGCAGGAAAGATTAAGGGAACAAACCTTGGAGTTAGAGAGAGATGGATTCCATCACTACTGAACAACTGCCTAGAGAATTCTGAGCCTCCATTTTTTCATTTGTTTAAAAAGAGACAGGCAAGGCAGTACATGCATTATGCTTATTATTAGTATGAGGTGAAAATGTGGGTTTCCGTGGACTGCCTCCTGTGAAAGGCAGGCTCCTTAGAGGGCCATTGCAAGTAAAACTGAGAAATGACACCCTGGTAGGAACAATCCCTTACCTGAAAGGAATTCATACAGCGAAGGGACGGAGGCAGCGTGGCGTTATTCCTTGATAATAGCAGCAGCAGCTCCAAGCAGGTTGCAGAGGGCAGGGTCAGAGGGTGGACGCTGACGTCACTTTCCCAGGAGCTGACAAGCCTGAAAGACATTGGTGTGTGCAAGGTCATAATTGCACCTGGTCACCATTATTTCAAGAATCTAATGGAGAAGAAGAAAACCTCCAGCTGTGGGAGGAAAAACAATGTACAAAAAAAATAGAAAGAAAATAGTTACGCTATAAACTCACAGGTTAAATGTCCAAGACATCTTACAGGATTTGGGGTATAAAACAGATGGCGTAGGCCTTTTTTTCAGGTCAACATTTTATCCTCAAAGAGCCAAGAAATGCAGTCTTACGTGTGAGGGACCAATCTGGGGTTGGGGGGAACAATAGCGAACACACCGAATGCTTCCTATGTTCTACGCTCTGAGCTGCATGGGCACCTTGGTCAACCCGCAGATACGTGTGAAACGGACCTATTGTTATCCCCATTCCACACATGTGGCAATTGTTACTGAGCTGGATATGCCCTTTGGAACATCCAGTTCAGTGATTTTCAGACCAGCCCTCATTCATGACACAAATCAAAGCAAAGCTGGTGTTAGAAGGGTAGGGATGGCAGGAGGCTCTCATCCTCCAGCGTGGCCTGGGAAGCAGCTCTATTTGAAAATCCTTTCATTTGAGAGATGAGGAAACCGAGGGCTAGAAAAGCAAAGAGACTTGTCTGAGATGAGGCGGATGTTTAGGAAATTATACGAGTCTGATCCTGGTTTCCTGACTTTCCATCTGGTGCTTAAAGAAAAGGGGAAAATCAGGAAATCGTTATGAGAAAGTGTAATAAGGGCAGCATGAGTCTTATGCTATCACTCTTCTATTTACAGTACTTGAGTATTTCCTGTCTTTGCCCCCACCAAAGTGTCTCTTGCCATTGTCCTGAATTTTAAAGAGAAGTGTGTGTGTGTGTGTGTGTGTGTGTGTGTGTGTATGTTTGCCTTTCTATATAAACTTCTCTTAACAGTGACTTTTAATCAAGTCAGTGGTGAATTCCGAAACTTCAGGGAGCAGCAGTGGTTGAGAAGAGAATAGAGTTGAACACTTTATATGACAAGTCATAGCAGATCATTTAGCTGTGTGCCGGGAGCCGGTCCATGCTTGCTGTTTCAAGGGACCTGGCATATATGGCATACTGTTCTTAAAATGTTTGCTCACCTTCTTGGCACTATGTGTTTTAACCAAGGTCACCTCTCCGAGAAAGGTTGTTTCCCCAGGTAGGGAGTTTTCCCTGAAGTTAGGGAGGGAATAAAACCTCTTAACTAAGTGCCAGGCGGGTAATTAATCACTTTAACTATGAACAATCATGCTTAAGCTACATAATCTTTACTCCCTGGAATGGAGATAAGAAACGCCCTAACCTTTGTAATTGAGATTGATAGGATTGAATCAACTGGTATAAATACAGATGTAACAAGACAGAAGGAGACAGAACTTAGAACTCAGAACCTAGACACAGAACCTACACAGAATCTAGAGACAGAAGAACTTCACTGGAGAGAACATGGCAAAAGATCCTGGACTGAACCTGACTTCAGAAATTGGCAAGAGAACCTGACTAGAACCTGGTGACTGAACCTGGCTGGAGAACCTGGACAGAACCTGGCTGGAGAACCTAGTGAGGGAACATGGCTACAGAACCTGGCTGGAGAACCTGGAGAACCTAGCAAGAGAACATGGACACAGAACCTGGCTGGAGATCCTAACCAGAACTTCGCTGGAGATCCACAGCAGAACCTCTCTGGAGATCCAGACCAGAACTTGGCTGGAGATCCTGGCTGGAGATCCTGGCTAGGCTGCTGATCAACTGAACACTGTCTCCGTGTCCCTCCTTCTTCGCCGACTCCGTCTACACCTTTGGGGAACCCCTGGACCCGCTGGGACTGGACCCCAGCAGCTGTGTGCATCGGGTTACTCATTACGCTGCTACATTTCTGATGTGGGGTGCGGAGTCAACTCCTTCCTAAAGCATTCGCCTTCTAATGCGACTGGAAGAGGAAGGACACTGTCTGCTTTCCTAAAAGTTGGTCTATTTCAGCAAGCGTATATTTTTTGTGTCTTTTCAGTGTTTTAAAAATTATTTTATACTGACTGGCTCTGTTATTCTTTCTGCTTTTACTATTTATGTAACATTCCTGACATTTTTTCCAGAATGGAAATAAAGACTCTTGCCACCTTTGGTAAAAGGCATATGTAGTGCTAGTGCAGTGGCTCCAAGCTCATTCTCCTGGCACCATCCTTATGCCCTCCACAAACCAGGTACTTTCCCTTCTCTGGCCTGCACTAGGCTACACACCTGTGTTTGGTCACAGTTTTCTGAGCCTGGAAGGCCTGTTTCCCTTATAAGAATTACCTACTTGCTAATCACCATACTTGTATCCATTACAACATGTACCACCACCCTACGTGTGTGCCTATTTGGACTGTGTCTACATCTCTGACTCATATGAGATCAGACGTGAGTAACTGTAACCTGTGGATTACTCTAACTTGGCAGTCTAATGTGGAAATAAAAATTAGATTAGTATTGTTTTTCCTCAAACACACCCAGGATTTAACCTGTTACTGGCTAAAAGAAATAGCCAATGCCAATTTTTCACTTATTCTTGTATGTTCAATAAGCAATTTAAGTTTTCAGAATTCATACATTTTACCCCAGCACCTACAACAGGGCTCATTAAAGCTATTTTGATTCTTATTTTCTAAAAAGTGCCCTGAAAAGGTTTTTGCTTTTTTCTGAATTGGAACTCTTGCAGCCAAGGTCACCAGACACTGCCCTGGATTGTGAATGTCCCTTGGGAACTCATAGGTGAACCCTCAAAACCTAACCCGGGCCAGTCATGCTGCATCTTCAGTAGGGGTGTCCCGGGAACACTGCAGCCTGCACGGGGCTGGCTGGAGCTCACAAGTAAGGATCCTACCAGAGCACAGATCATCTTTGAGACACTAACACTTTTTCATCATTTTTTTACTCCTCTTTTGGCAGTATCCTATCTAATAAAAGAGAAACATGGTAATTAGCATACGACCGCTACCCTTCCCATTGGCTAATCAGGGCAATATGCAAATTAACTGCCAGCCAAGATGGCGGCCAGCAGCCAGGCAGCTGGAAGCTAACATGAGGCTTGCTTGCTTCTGTGACGGAGGACTCCAACATTCCCCGCCTGCCTTGCCAGCCTCTGAGCTTGCAGTTTCAAACATTGTAACAAATATAGAAGCTAAACAAAACCCCAGAAACCTGCTTTCAGCCTGCCAGGATCTCAGAGCTGGAGTTATACATTGTTTCGATTATAGAACCCAAACAAACCAGATACCTGCTTTCAGTAGCAGAGGCCTTAGAGCTGGAGCCAGAGCTAAAGTATGCCCAGAATAAAAAGAAAAAAGAAAAAAAGGAGCAGTTGGGAGCTTCAGTCACCTGTCAGCCTGAAAACAACCCTCAGCCCCTCACCCAGACTGGCCAGGCACCCCAGTGGGGACCCCCACCCTGAAGGGTGTGTGACCAGCTGCAAACAGCCATCATCCCCTCATCCAGGCTGGCCAGGTACCCCAGTGGGGACCCCCACCCTGAAGGGTGTGTGACCAGCTGCAAACAGCCATCATCCCCTCACCCAGGCTGGCCAGGAACCCCAGTGGGGACCCCCACCCTGAAGGATGTGTGACCAGCTGCAAACAGCCATCATCCCCCACCCAGGCTGGCCAGGCACCCCAGTGGGGACCCCCACCCTGATCCAGGACACCCTTCAGGGCAAACCAGCCGGCACCCACCCATGCACCAGGCCTCTAACCTATATAGTAAAAGGGTAATATGCCTCCCAGCACCGGGATCAGTGGAGCCGCGAGGCCTCCCGGCACTGGGATCAGCGTGACAGGGGGCAGCGCCTAAACCCCCTGATCGCCCTGCGGCTCTGTGTGTGACCGGGAGCGGGGCCACAACCTCCCTATCGGCCCTGCTCTGTTCGTGACAGGGGAAGGCGCCCCAACCTCCTGATCAGCCCTGCTCTGTGCCTGATACGGGGGAGCTCCCCAACCCCCTGATCGCCCTGCAGCTCTGTGTGTGACAGGCTGCGGCACCCCAACCCCCTGATCAGCCCTGCTCTGTGTGTGACAGGGTGCGGCGCCCCAAAACCCCCCCCCCCACGGGCCCTGCTCTGTGTGTGACAGGGTAGAGCCATAACCTCCCCATCGGCCCTGCCCTGAGTGTGAGAGTGGCGGCGCCCCAACCCCCTGATCGGCCCTGCTCTGTGGGTGATAGAGGGCGGCGCCCCAACCCCCTGATCGGCCCTGCTCTGTGCGTGACAAGGGGTGGCGCCACAACCTCCCAATCCGCCCTGCTCTGTGCATGACAGGGGGTGGCGCCCCAACTCCCCAATTGGCCCTGCTCTGAGCCCGACCAGGGGCTGCACCTAGGGATTGGGCCTGCCCTCTGCCACCCGGGAGCAGGCCCAAGCCAGCAGGTCGTTATCTCCCGAGGGGTCCCAGACTGCAAGAGGGCACAGGCCGGGCTGAGGGACACCCCCTTCCCCCTCTAGTGCACAAATTTTTGTGCACTGGTCTTCTAGTTATATTTATAAGATAAAAGGGAAATAGTGAATTATACAAATAGATACTTTTATAACAGAGTTATTTTTATGGCTGAAACATGCTCCCCATAATGTATGTTTAAATTTTATAAGTCTTAGGTTTCTTCTGACAATTGTTTACCCTCTGGCTAACACGTTCAGATAATGGGCCAGGCACTTTATTTATAGCCATTGTCTCTAACCCCACAGGAGCTCTGAATGGCAGGCAGTATTCATCCCACCTTAAAGACAAGGAAATCAAAGGTCAGATTGTCCAAAATCACACAATTAGTAGGTGATGGAACCAGGATTCACTCAACTCAGCCCCAGTCGAAAGCTGTGCTCTGTCCACTGTACCACACTGATCGCTGAGGACTCTCTACACATCCTCATCCTCTCCAAGCAAAGCATAGGTAACCGAATCTGCCATTTCCTCTGTATGTTAACTTAAGAGTTTTTTCGCTTCTCTGTAGTAAGTAATTTTATCC